AGTATATCCGGAATAAGTCTGACAAATCTACGTTGAATATGGAAATAGTTATCCTATGCTTTCTTCAGGATGAAAGCGACTATCTTGTACGAGACTGGTTTTTTTTCCAGATATAGCCATGTTGAAAAGATCGCACGCTGGGTTAAATAAAAACGTACCTATAGAAAAATGTCAAAGAATTGAAAGTAAACACAAGTCAGCGATAAAGTCGAGATTCTTTACTGACGTACAATTTTTCGCATCGTTCAAAATACGCCTTTTTTTAAAATCACATTTTAAAAATCCGTAACGTTGTTCGTTTCACAAACTTTGAAAGATATGTGTATACCAGTTTGAAAATTCAGTAAAATCGTAAAAACTCAGGTTTGTTACGTAGTCTGAATGCAGCAAACTGACTAGACGAAAAGACGCGCAATGATTATTTTTTAACAGATATAAACTCACAAGTCGGATAAGGACCAACAAAAATTGAGTAATTACAAAGCTGAAATGTCACTACGTCGTGTTAACTGGAATTGTTCAAGTGGAACTTCCTGCGCTTCGCGAAGCGTTTTAAACGCACATACTATACCACAGGTACCGATGTTACCCCATTATTTACGCCAGGAATATCAAAGCCTAGTCCCGGAGCAAGAACTTATTTACTGGTTCTTAGACGAATAACCGCTGACTAAGCTATGGGCATATGTAAGATATTTGACAAATACCGTTTTATGTACTTCCAGGCGTAACACACAACTATACGCAATGGCTATATCCCACCAGATCGTAACTCAACATAGCCCATAAATATTAATATAGGTAGACATGAATGAGAGCGTAGTAAGCTGTAACATCATTTAGAGTTACTATTATTTGTAATGAGAACTATTATTGTTCGTAGATCGAGAGAACCCTTCCGCATTGAGAACCATAGGAAGATGACGTCATAAAATGAAATATTGAACGACAGTTATAGTGAAGGTAATTGGACTACATCGAAAAAACAAAAATAAAATTAACGATCAAGGGCACCACAATTTTTTTATTCCTAAGCAATTTTCTTGCAAGGCAATTCGCCTGTGGACGATCGAGTGTCTTATTAAAGATTCAAAGGTAAATTGAACGTGGCTAAACTTTTTCGGAATACGAGGTGTTACTTTGGTTATACGTTATGCGCGAAGTCCGATATTTTCTTCTACTTTGGTAAACGAATTTTCACGGCAGACACAGTAGCGTCTGGCTACGAATATTCCAAGGCGGAAATGGAACTTGCGAGGAGAGAAAGGAGTCGGAGGGAATAAAAAGCGAGTAAAAGAAACAGAAAGGATAAAAGTATTATGTGTAGGTATTTTTATTAGAATAAACAGGCACACGAAGACGTGGTAAAATTTTTCTTTTACAGCGCCATCCGCGACATGATAAAAAAAAAGGCAAAAAGTTTTGGCTGCATTCCCTGTTAAAAACTTAATTTGCAAAAATAAAAGGTACACATTTTTCGAATACTAACATACCTCTTCATTTCAACTGAGGGTTCCAAAGTTTGATCGTTTAATATCAAAGTATTTAATTTTGCCATAACATACTCGTATGTCGAATTCACGTGAAACTTTTTTTTTAAATTATCGACGGTGTGTTTAAACATAGACAGACACTTACAGCAGAATTGCTAAATATTGTACTTAAAATTTGAACCCTAATCTGATAAGTCCTCACGCTCTTTGGAGTACCACGATAATTCGCTGGATCAAAATTCACCGTGAACGATCAACGGAGAATCTACCGAAACAAATATACATATAAATATTATATTATATATAGATATGTATATATAATAAACAGAGCCAGCCGGTATTATTATATACAAACCAACATACGCGAGCTACCTAAAAACCCTTCAGTACCTTCGTCAACTGGTAGTAGGAAGAGGACCTCGACAGTTTTGCCAATCTCTCGAGTGCCCGGCCATTATGGAGTTTGCCAGTGTTGTAAAAGATACGCGCGCGCGTGCGTAAGATAAAAAAGGCAGGAGAGAGAGAGAGAGAGAGAGAGAGAAAAGAGAAAGAGGGTGACAACCATTATAACCATTCACAGTTAAATCAACATATAAAATCGTTAATCCATCACAGCTAAAATTCTCGCTCTTCTCGCCTTTCATTTTTTGTTTCGCATTTTGAATCGGCTTTCCCCTTTCATCCCTCTTTAATCTGACTTGCGTGGAAAATGGCTTACAGCCCCAAAGCCCTCATATGCCAATTGATAGGAAGAAGGCCCTTTTATTAAATTTTCTAGCCAGAAACATCTGCGAACGACAAGCTATTATTCCAAAAATCCGTCACTGTCAAATAGAACACGAGCATTTATCACAAGGGTGGTACTCGAAAGCTTTTCACAACTTTCGAGAAGATTTATTTTACATTCGTTAAGCTTTGTGATAATTATAAGAGCACGATAATTCACCGTGAGAATATAAGTGAAACGAACAATTATTTAAATGTATATTACAGAATGATAAGATATTGTAAGCATTTAAATGTCTTTATTATTGAATACAACGTAACTTTTTGACACTACATTTTCCATCAGTATACGATCGCGTATGTCATCCTTAATAGAAATGTCATTTTTTAATTCCACGATTTGTCGCGAGTGGTTACGTCCATTCCGACAGAATTTTATTTCAAAACACCGTACTATTTTCACGTGCAAAATTTAACTGCACCTGCACGTAAATTACTACGAAACGAGTAAAATTCTCGAGTGACGTAAATCAATCTATGACATACACACGTGCTCAACACCTGTACTCCAAAGGTCACCTATAGAAAGAAACGAAATCCAAAATAAAAAAATTCAAATCCCCCATATATTATTTTCACAAAATATGAATTATTTACAAACTCATACAATTTGCCTTCTGGAAACGATTCGCTATTTCCTTCACCCTCTCATTACTTTATCCAACACCTATTATCATTCGTTCCACTTGAAAAATTCGATAACACATGTCCTCATGTGCTTCATCAGAAATCATAGACTCTCGTATTCCCCCAGTATTTATTTTTCTCATGCTCACCATTTTTTCCGTTCACATTTTCTCTCCTCATGCCTGTCCCTGGTCGCAACCCTTGTCGACAAAGAGCGATAATCGCTACGCACCACATCCCACGTTTTAACCTCAGGCGCTCGCACGTGTATTATGTATACACGTACGTACTGAGAGAGTGAGAAGCATAAGACTTAGGAGGATTCTTATCACAGAGGAAGATAAACTTTTTTGCGGGAATGACCCTTGAAATTTATATGAATTGAGCCACTATCAAAGCACGTAAACTGCAACGTTCTTGGCTATTGAGTTTAATAGACGTCTAGCTGTATATACTTATAACAGTGACGCTCAACTTCCTTACGAATATCTGCTACTAAATTTAAACTCTGCAGTTCCGACTAATCGATCGAACGCAGAGAATATTATGCCGCATGTTCTCCTGTAAGCACAGTTTTCTATCTTTATGTCCATTTCTCCAGTATCCCGTCGTCTCGATTCGCATGCTCTACAATAAATACAATAAATCAAATGCTTGGTAATGAAATATTTCTCTTCCTTTTCTTCGCAGGTATTCATTCAAGGTAACGTGAAATTTCACTATGTTCACATTAATGCATAGACTTCTCTATTAGCACTACACTACTATGCTCTTCTGCATGAAAATATGTAACACATTACTCAGTCGTACTTATTCAGAATGAGAAATACTTAAAAAAATGTTAATATACGTATGACTGCATAAAATTATCAGTAGTCTTGTAATAGGAAATTTAATAACAGATATATAAGATGAGTAGTCATAATCAGTGGTCCGACTAACAAAGATCGAGTACGAAATTATATCTTAATGTCATATGCTTATGGATTAAAGCTAATTAACAGGTACAATTCCGTATCATACTTCTTCTGATAATACTCAGCTCGTTATCTGTGCACAGCATGGTCAACGAGAGGTCTTATGATTTACAATGTAAGAATCCTTTAAATCTACAGTAAACACTACGATTTTATATATTAGTTATTTTTACTATCAGTTTATCATATCATTAATATGAATATATAATTATACGTATCAATAACATAATTTTTATATTTTTTGAAACGATTTTCATCAATTTTACTAATATTCTTTTTGGAGAGATTATGCATCCGAAATAATTGCATGTTAAAGTACTTTTTTTCTAAAAATACTACAGAACGATAACACAAGACATGCCAGACAGTCTTATATCCCATGTAGAATTACGCCCGCGGATGTACTGATATAAATTATAACTAATATTGAATTTCAGAGTACTTTCAATAAAAGTACTATTACTCTTTTACTTCAAATGTTTTCATTTATCAGCACCTATACGCTCACTCTCTTTCTCTCTTCTTCTCTCTCAAAGCTTAATCTCCTTTTTATAACTTAAAGTTATTGCGTTACGGAAGTTTACAAAACTGAAGTTATTACAGCTAGCTGTTTCTAACGCCAAGCTGAACATTAAACTTCTTCGTGCAGCATATTTTATTAATTGAATAAATTAAGCATATTATTCAAGGAATAATCGATTCGGATCATCTATACATATTTCTTGTTTATAATTGAATGAAAAATTATTGTTTCAATCGTATGAAATATTATAAGCAACTATTATAATACAATAAATCATTTTTTTGCTGCCATCGTCGCTTTTATCAAGCTATTGACATCACTATGGTATTAGTGATATACGTTTATCAGTGATATCAATCATATTATCACATGCGCTTATGAACATACGCGCATCTACCTCATGAACGTGATGCACGAAGAAAGTGATTTTTTAACTTGCGTCATTTAATCATGAGAAATTGTATCATTATAATATATAAAAATTATCTATACAAAAAATTATAACATTCGGTTCAATATATAATTTACTGCTAAACGCTGGTCGTGATTACTTCATATATCAAGATCGTGTACTGACGTGTGCGTAACTTATCAAAGGATTACAGCTCGCGAGCAAAACACGTTAAATAGTGATACTGATATTGAAGAACACCTAGTCGTGCGTTGAGAGGACTCATGTGAAACATTCATCAGTTATTATCGTGGAAGGTAAATGATATTAATATTTATATTAAAGCAGTGTAGAGATAAACTATTTTTTAATGTTCTTTTTTTTTAAGAAATAAATTACTTTCGAGAAATTATTGATTTTATTTTATCTATCTGGTACGAATTAGTATAAGACACAAGTGTGCACCAATCACACGAGTCTTATACTCATTCGTAATAGCTAGATAGAGAGACGAGAGACTGTTAATCTGCTTCAAAAATATTTTTTTAATAGATTTCTCCTTCCTTGCAAATACTTTAGATGCCTATGACGTCACTATCATAAATTTTCAGGTAATTTTATAGTGATTTATCCAAAAATAATATTTTAAGGTGCTCTCTGCTGACACATTTCGGGGTATTCTTTCGAAATTTATTACAATAATATTTTATTCGTCATGGTAACATCAATAGATAGCAGGTGACATAAAACATTATGATAGTACTAGGAAATGTCCATTTGAACAACGGAAGTGTAATGTGCGATATTGAGTTTCAGTCAGAATATACAATACATATAATATACGTCCTGTGCATTAAACGTATGAAATTAAATTTAGTAAAGCTCGCATTATACTTATGACATAAAATAATATTCATCATATAAGATATTACGTACAGTTTCGCGTAAGACGAGTATAGAAAAATTTAAATTATTTTAAGCAGAAAGAAATTTTAAGATTAATATTTCTCCAAGGAATATCGTTTTCTTGGCATATAATTCTGAAGGAAACAGTAACGTTCGAAATTGAATCTACAGAAGTCATGAAATTCAAAGAAATTCTTTTACATGTGATTTCTTTCATGTACAAATTCATACTTTTATTCGTCATGCAGAATGAACGAAACTCAGACAAAGGGAACCTGTTAACAGAGATTCGTCGAATTGCAAAACGATACGAATAAAAATCATAAAAATTTAAGAAAGTTCCTTCTCGTCCGAACGGTTAAATGGTAATTATCAAAATTGGACAATTATCCCAGACACAATTGGCATAAAGTACGACAGCTGTGAATACACGATTAAAAGCACGTTAAAGAACGAATATTATGCTTGAAAAGTTTCAGTAGATTAATGTCATTAAAATTTGTATTTCATCAAACTCCTTCGTTCGTTGATTGGATCTTCGCCAAAAGGACGTGAGCGGCATTGAAGTATGACACAATGAAAGTGACTTACGAGGTCGAGCGGTATTTACATGATATTACCAATTTGTAACAATCAATGAAGTTTCGTCTGTTAATATTACAAAAGCGTAACGTCAATGATCGTTAGCTCTTCGTAGTGATTACAGGCTACGAATTATTTCGACATACTATAAAAAAAAGCTATAATAAAATGGCAGGCTGAAAACGATATAAAAGAAAATTTTAATAAAGCATTCAATTAATAGACGAAGCTAATTAATTGAAAAACTTGTTACTGCGATTATTATCTACATAAAAAAAAGTGTAGCAACTGTACGAACTTCGCTGTGATAGTAAATAATTACGATGACGCTTTGGGATGCTGTGAAAATCTTGGTAAAGCGCATTACGGAACTTTGCTATTAGAAACTTGAAAAAGTTTAAGACGTATAGTAAGAAGACACCACGCCTACTGAGAAAGTATATTGAACATCAGAAGTGACTGAAAATCACATCGAAACTGCGTTAAGCTTTTCGAGCAAACTTAAGACGATGAAAATTAAGTGACAATGAGCAATAATTGCTACAACGTGACAAGACAATTCTTTTTTTTTAGGAGCCTATCTGTATGTATACAGTTAATATATGAGGCAATCAGACTCAAGCAATTAAATTGAAGTATAATACGATAATGCCGATTTCGGTTTATTATACAGTGTTTGAAGGATTCCAACAAATTCTCAGAAAATAAACGATAAGTTACGTAACGTTTTATCATCGTGATTTCAAGATAAGATTTTTGAAAAAAAAACTTTTAATGATGCTGAAGTAGCAACATTTATTGCATATGTATTTCCAATGAAAGTATATAGTGAGAAGAAAACTTTTGAAGTAGATATTATAAAACCATAAATTCAGGGAAGAAACCACTCCTGTTTACAAGAGGCCAAACGATTATTAAATACGGGAAGAATGACTTTGGTCTTTTACTGGCTTAAGACTGTAATAAATCACTTTCATATATTACTTATTGCGGGACTGGCGCTGATCCAGTAACCCGTGCTTAATTCACTCCGATCAAATATGCTTTGGTAGATCGAGAAAAAAATTATGGAAACATATAAACCCGTGAAAAATTAATAATCCAACGATTTTGGCATTCGACTCTGTATGCATGAGGTAACGTTATATTATATCTAATGCAACCTGTTATATGTATATTATTGGAAAATGGGTAATTATCTAATTCTTTCATGCGTTAATAAAATTAGCTCCCTTTGATAATTAATGCAAAGCAGGGTATAATGTAAGAATTATATATACACGTATTATGAAAAGTATTCTGAAATTAGTAATAAAGAAGCAAATAATATTTTACTTTGAAGCTGCCGGCTACTTACTTATAGTTAATAGCCTAAAATTTATTTATTACTCATTTGCTAACTCATCTGTCTACTTTATTCTTTCAGGTTCAATCAGGTTAAATAAAAAGAATGACGAAGATGAATACTGCGCTATATACATTGCTTCTTGTAATGAGTTGCATTTACGATACCATACAGGTAACTATAGAACATATCACAAAAATAAATGTAACTGACATGAGGTTGACGAGTAGAATTTTCTAACAGGCATTAAAAGTTACTAAGTTTATAATCGGATTTGACCCTACTTGGCAGAAAATGCTTAAAAATCACGAACTTGACAAGTAAAACTTTTTACCCAGAATAGACATTTTCGTTTCATGAAAAATCAAATCTGAAACTCTCGATGAAAGAAACTGTAAAGAAAAAAAAAGCGATAAAAATAGTAAAGTTAATTTAAAAATCCAATAAATTATTCTTCTTTGGTCAATTATATAATACTACAAGGTAACTGGAAAGCACACTGAATCTTATATCTAATAGCTTATTTCTTGCATTAAGCGTGGAGCTTTATGTATAGCCCCGAGAATAAAAAGCAAACAAAGCGACAGAGAAATCGTAATTAAGCAGCTCTCACAATGTGTATTCCTATATAATAACGTGTACAGGAGAAACTAGTAACTATAATCGATCCACGAGTTCAATTAATTTTTTCGACATATCAAAAACAATGAAGTTTCCAACAAGCCACAAATGGTGAGATTTGATTACAGAGTACATATATGCATAGTTTCGCACTGAAATATATTTTTTTCATGACACCTGCATCGAAATTTCAAGTTTCAGTGTCTTTAAAGTCAGTCGAAACAACCTAATTTCAGGCTAACGTCCCGGACACCTATTAGCGGGTGCGTAAATTTCGAATGGTTTAAATCAGCGGACAGAAACATCTGTGTTTATTCCCTAGGGCAAAACATGCAACTGTAAGTCAAATTTAATGTTTAATTCGGCCTTATTACTTTCTCATTCGTTTTTTAGTTACTTCGGTTTACTTATTGGATTTTCATAACTGACAGTTCTAACCGTGCAGTCATCATAATTTACTCATACGGTAATAGTTAGTTCCCCGTGCCATTAGCCTTAAATTAACTTGCTTCCGACTAGCTGCTGATACTGAAACCATTGGTTTCAATGGTTTCAATGGAAAATTGGTTTCAATGCAGATAATCATGAAAACATAGTCCGTGACAGGCGATAAAACACGATTTTAGACTTCGGGTGATGTCAGCTCTCGGCTGCAGCTCAAGCAGCCAACTTCACCCTAGTCTTAAATCGTCTTGTTTTATCCCTTGTTACACAATATACTATTAATTTTTTATTTTAGCATATATTTCCGTGGTGTTATGGAAAGCATAGTGTTAAGGAAATGTATTATTTACTTAGAATTGCATTGTTTGCGAGCTGTCAAAAAAATACGTGATACACGTGGATCGACCATGGATAATATGGATATCACTTTGGAAATGTATGAAATTGTGCTTTCCGATTCTCCGAATTCAAGTAAACATGCATATATACTCACGAACAGCAGATCATTATAGTAAATCCCCAGTGCTTCAAGTTACGGCACGTTACACGTAATACTCTATGCATATACATACATTACATTCCGCGTACGTATGTAAATCGATATGGCAGATAACACTTGCGCTTCCCTTTGAAATACACGTGCGTCTGTACATTTCGATTGTTCGAAAATGAACAGAGTAAATACGAATGTACTACCGAATAGTAATAGCCTATAAGGACGTGATCACAAAATCACCGAAATTTATATGAGTTTCCATAAAGCCTAAAATTATTTCGCTCGATGTAAAATATTTGCTAAATCAAATATTGTTTATGTCTAAATACTGATATGCTCAAAAATTTCAAATAAGATCTGTAGAATTTTCATAAGTAGTTAAATCAGAAAATAAACCCATTTGCGCCTACATCTCGCCTTTCAAGCCATCATTACATTAATATCTCGATTTACCATTAAGTATAGCAAACCAAGAACAATATATATATATATACATGTTTATATCTCGAATGGAGTAAAAACTTTTCTTAGACTGCCGATCGAATGCTAGTCGGTACATACTAATTCTGATTCATCGGTTCTCAATTTTGTTCAACTTAATATAATTTTATTTTTTATACAGAGATCAACAGTGGATTCTCCTAGCTACGTAGCATCAGTTGTAGAATTTTCGCCCGAAGACCGCATTGACGGTGGATTGACGCTGATGTCAAACGCCTACGCCTATGTTCAATTTATTTGGGAAGCCGGTTTCAAGGTAAAGAGAAACCCTTACATCGTATTAACTTTATCGTACAGCCATTTCTGTTTGTATATATAATACTTACCTCAAAAAAATTATCAACATGGCTCTCCAGCAAACCCAATGCACACATTAAATCAGTAATTTAACACTATCTAGTAAAGACAGCGCAAATAATTATTGCAGTAACAAAACAGATCACATTCACAATAAATAATTTGTTAATAAAAATCACGATTAACGAAATTTCAATACAAATCTGTAGGTATCATAAACAAAATTAAAGAGGCAATTTATTAGCGTTTGAAAATTGGCATTAATTACTTAATGTATTAAATTTTAAAAAACTACGCTTAATATAGACCTTTGTTATAAATATGAAGGAGACTCAGTAAAAAAACAACGTTAACCGGATAACGCGCGTATAAGAACTGCTCGCGAACCGGAAGTAAAGCGAGCACCAAGTGTAGGCTGATTACCTTATCTCTCGGGTTAGCGATATCTGCATGAAATAATGTTATACCATGACCCATAATTATTTCAGTGCATTAATCGAGCTTAATTCTAACTTACAAACGTGAAATGCGCGTTGACGAACGTGTTTGCGAACAGGAAGCAATGCATTTCTTCATTATCCCTTAATCGTACTATATAGATGTATACATTTCATGTTTACAAACTATTTTGAAAGCTTGAATTAATTGCATGGGAATTATAAAATACATATAATGAAAATTGCATTCGGCTTGTTCACAGCATATTAAAACAATCCGCAATAAAGGCGGGTTTATCGTCTAATTGTTTAATGCATAAATACCATCTGACATAAGGCAGATGTCATATTTTTGACATTTGAATATTAAAAGTGATAAATTGATTTTCAAAAAACATATTCCTAACTATATGTGATACGTTTGCCCATGAAATCCTATAATTGAAAAAATAATTTTTGGTCAAGCCAATCACTATTCTATTCCGTTTATTTCTCGTCTTCCTTGACATGGCCTACTGGACGTCAAAGAGACAAGCAATCTCTTTGTATACGTGGCCAATGATCGAACGACGATACTTTCGCAATTCTCCGATCCCCACGATATTTCTTTTCCACTACATTTCCTAGTCGCATTTCTTTCGATTCCGATGCCGTTATTTGGGGCTAACTCGAAATCGTCCTTCGCACACATCAGAGTTCCTGCTGTTCAATCTCCTAACATTGTTCCAAGTGAGAGAAAGTTAGTATAGGTATGGCTGGATTCGCGATTCGTACCTTGATCGACCTTATGAGGAAAATGAGTGGAAAGATGAGATATAACAGGAGAGAAATAAACTTCCGAAATAATATCAGGAACGTAACATACCGTTAGGCAAAACTGTCACGTACTTAGATAATTTTCTTTTTCCGTTACATTCGTTGGTAATGATTGATACAATATTTTGTCCAATTAAACAGTTAAGTGAAATGCGCGGAAAAATTTCGAATCATATAACCGTGACCGGTCGCTATGTCTGGTTTAATTTCCCAGTTCAGTATTCATAGGATGAATGTGGATTAATGACAAACAAATTTAAATTTAAATCACGTTCAAAGCTCTTCGAAAAATTGTGAGCGAGATCGTAAAATTGCACAATATTGCACTCATATCATCCATGACGCTGTCGTCAAAAGTCCAATGGGACATTTGAAATCGTGGTAATGAAAGTAGTGAGGACAGTACATATTGACGGTATCCATAAAACACGTGGCGTGACGAATTAGAATGAAGTAGACTCGCGAAATTGTTCGAGGCTACAAAATTGGTAATTTCGCTTAACGAAATTTTTTTAAAGATAAAAGGATGCGCTAGGTACATCGAAGTGGGTTTCACGTTATCACGATGACCATCACCCTCCGGACTACGAAGTCGGTTACGCAGGACGAAGTTTCGAACAAACAGCGTTTCAAACGAGACACTCTAGACGTCTAGAGGTTCGAGCTGCAAAGTCGAAGGGAGACATTGGCTTCGCTCTAACATGTAATGTGATTACCACCCTCGGTACTGACGAGAAGTGTACTACAGTATGGCAGATATAATCTAATCTGGACGCCTCGAGGAGTCCTTGACTTTCTCTACCGGGTGTTATATTCGAATTACATTAAATGAAGATGACGTTCAAATTGAAAGACCAGTATAACTTAATAGCCGTATAGGAAGTTTATTATACTGGAATTGATTGATTTTGTCAATGACAGAATAAGTAATCAGAGCGATATGATTTATCTTTGAACGTTTTGATGACGGCGCCTTTATGTCGAATCAAGATTAAGCGTGTTGTCTCTCGACTTCTGATTAAATACCGTAGCAGACTTTATTAAAGTAACATTCAATTGTTTGGGAATTAAAATTATTTTCTGTATATTCTAACGTATTTTCTTAATTCGACACGGATTACGGAAATACGAGAGCTAACCTACGCCACCTTCGGCTGTCCACCCTTCGTCCATGCATCCGTATGCCAAACGGGCGCCAGTCAATTCTTGTTTCACCGGAAACTGACGAGCCGGTATAACCTGGGTTAATCGAGACCGTAACAGAGCGAATTGAAGCTAGAAACTCGAAATCCCTTCACCAATTAATAAATTGGGAGTACTCACCGAAGCTAGTTCTACTGATCCGTGAAGCTGAGAACTGCATCCAGGGGACACTCAGATGGGCCCTGCACTATATCAGCACAACACTGCACCTCCGAAATAAACACAGAAAATCTGTAGGATTTTCTGGATTTTGCGACAGGAACGCGAAAACTATACAAGCGAGAAATTTGTATACCATATATGAAACACGGCTAAAAAAACTATCAGCAAATAGCACGGGAGCATGAGCCAGCTCGAGGTGTCCCAGGACAGACTGCTTTAAAGCAGTCAATTGATAATAGTCAAATTCGAGTACTAATCATTCTGATTTTTCGAGATCCTTACAGCCGATAACTCTTATCCATTTCCTCGAGTCGTCCCTTTAAACCAGATCGAGAGCATTCCTTAGCGAATCGGTAAGTAATAACTGGAGGTCCCCCACGGCCACTTCCCCAGAGAATCCGGCGACAGCTGGGCACTTTGCAGCAGGAGCTGGAGTTTTGACCCTCTCCAGCAGAGCGCCGATATCTCATCCGGATCTCTGCCGATCCGTGGAGACGTCTCAAAAACAGGTTACAATAATACATACCTACATACCACTTTTTCAGGGTGCGGATATAATCGTTTTTCCTGAAAGTGGACTGTCGACCTCTAGTATGCCTGCTAGAAAAGATTTAAAATCATGGACTTCATTTGTTCCTGATGCTAATGAGAGGTATTCACCCTGTACGAACGAGAACGTTGAAATGCATTCAGTAAGTATCATGTACGATTAATTAGTAATGAATGTTTTCGTAAATTGACAAAAAGAACTGCGTACTTCCAAAATAAAATTTTAAAATAAAATTGACATTTTTGTAGACAGAACAAACAGAAATACATTTAGAGACGACGTTTTAAAGTCTGCGACCAAAGCCGCAATGATAAGTTAAATGATTTACTTGTTTTGTCTGATACAGTGTTTTATTGCAGGCACTAAAAATGGTCTCTTGTGCAGCGAACAGTACTAAGATGTACGTTGTTATAAATATTGGGGAAAGAGTACCCTGCGAAGAAGATGGTTGCCCAAGCGACAAGTTACTATATTATAACACAAATGTTGTCTTTGATCGTGATGGAATAATAATTGCCAAGTGAGTAAATGAAATGGCAATATCATTGTATTATTAGCATTATTACATATTTATTATTATGATTGGCATCATCAGCGTTATTGAGAAACAAAATGTTACAAAATTGATATGTATACTAATCAAGTAATCAGTATATTCTGTATCCTTGCTTTTTCCATTTTTTTTTTCTTAGAAATCGTTAATGATTTATTTATATTATAACCAATCAATACTATTGCTAGTAGTAGTAAAATATTTTTATTAACGTGTTTCATAAATTGGCAGGTACCGAAAAACTCATCTTTTTGGAGAATATGCATTCAACGTCACAAAGACACCAGAAATCATCACCTTCGATACAGATTTTGGTGTTACGTTTGGGACTCTTATCTGTTTCGACATTTTATTCAGCGTGCCGGGTTTAACATTGACGAGGGAACTCGGAGTCAAGGACATTATTTTCACGTCAGCTTGGTTCTCCCAATCGCCATTCTTGACCGGTGAGAATTTTTAAAAATTGAAAATATACCCCATACAATTATTATATCCATTCAAATGCACACACTGATACAGTTCTAGCCAGAATTATGAATTCGTTTAACATGTTAGCATATTCCCGTTATTTAATCCTAGAAAGATAGCCTTTTTCTAACCTAAGTTAAAAATGTTTTGGGCTTGGGTGTTAAATTTACGTAGGTTATCCTTCTAGGGTTAGTAATACATATAATATCGAACTTCCAAATACTCATCATTCATAAGAATATAAAAAAAAAATAAGATATAAAAAAAAATTGTTTACAACATTAACCAACAGAAAAGTAAAATATTCCATTAAAAAGCTGATACATGTAGATGAATGAAAAAGAGAATTAATATAATTCAAGGAAAACATGAGCATCTGGTACTTCGCTGTTAGTTCACGTAAAATTCAAAGAAGTGACGAATGAATCATTGTTATGGAAAAAACGATATATTTCTCCATAAGTATGAAGTTTTTTTCTATACATTTTTTTGCGTAGGAAAAAGATGGTTACACTCTTCCATATATACCCATTAAGCATTATTTCATGATTGAATATCTCTACGAGCATCACATTATCGATAAGACAGGCAATCGTATAAATTGAAATAGTAAGTGAATAGTGGATAAAGATTTTCGTGTAAAATTTTCTAGCAATTTCCCACACGACCCTTTGGAAAGTATTTTGTGATTTTAACGGAATGGATGAAGCGCGTATCGTTTTGAAAGCGTAAGCCGAGACTTTTCTGGAGGTAACTGACAACTTCGTGGAAGCGAAGAGAGAAAAGTGAGAGGAAAGTATTCGATTGAGATAAAAGTCGAGAGGAACTTTTTTTTCATCAGGTAGATTATCTAGAACCCCCGCCCCTCATTTGCTTCTGTCATGAGTAAATTTGATTTCTGTGGCTTACAAAGCCGGAACGCTTTACATACTCGGTGATCAGAAAAAAATCGATGCTTGCACAAGCAATTGGTGTAAATAAAAACAGAAGGCAAATATACCAGAAGCATAAAATTACTTTCAATTCGAATTTTAAATCCTTGATAAAAGTTCGAAAAACAGAAAAGACGACGTCAGGTTTACTTCATTTTCGATTAAAAAACAAAGTTACGTCCATAAGAATATTTGTAAATTGTATTTTGAACCTAATTTATATATACTTCATAAGCTTTCAGTATATCGCAGTTATTTTGCATTTATCATCTGCCAATTAAATCTTTCGTTCTTGTCATTAAAACCACTGCCAGTACAAACTTCTCTCCATTTACTGGCAACTTATACGTAACGTAGATATCTGCTCTAACGTCTCCCGTATCCGAGAGATATTGCAATTCCCTGCGTTGAAATCCTAGTCCCCTAAAGATACTACGCAATCCTTGAATATCATTTTCAGGAAGGTAGAGGGTCGGAAATTAATGTATTCCAAATTGACAACAAGAACGCACGTTATCATCTAATACAATATTAACACGTGACGCTGGCGAATTAACGCTGAGATATGTATACTTAAGAAACCTAAAAAATACACGCAATACATGACAAATATTATCGAACAGTATAACGTTACAATAATATATTATCTAATTGACTAAAAATTAGCCTTCGTGGAACAACGAATTCTTCTATGCTATTCCTTACAGTAGGTACTCGTACACTTCCGAGAACATAAAGAATCGATCTGATTGCCTATAAGAGCGGTTGAAGTTGTTTGTTCTCGACGATAACATATTCGGCGGCGAACGCCGGAAATTGAGTTTCCGATTTGGCTTCTATTCCGGTATGTTAAGGGAGAAAGTTTCACGGTGGCCATTGTTAAAGTAGCTTCCACGCTCATTGGACCATTTATCGATTTCGTAGCATATCTCTTCCTCTAGTTGGGTATCCATCTATAGGGTGATGCATTTCTTTTGGACTCGAATGCGAGTACAGAACTTTGTAACTTTATTAAATTTATAATACAAACCAAAAGTCACGTTTATGATATCTGCAGATGTTTATCATCGGTATTCACAAGTATTACAGCGTATCTGATCTAGACATGTAATTGAACAAAAACACGTCACTGCCAGTATCCGTCAGTACATTTCCAGTGTATTTTAGAACTCATTCTTAATAAGAAACAATCCTCAACTGGAAGTGGTTCAAGCATAAATTAATGTAAGCCATAATTACACAGATGCCAAGTCATACTTGAAGGTGGATGACTTGTCTGGTGATGCAGGTCGCGCTGTGGCACTTTAATTTCTTTTGCACGGTAAAGTGACGAAAGCTTTTGCTAAGCGGGAAAAGGAATTGCGAGGCTCTAGAAAAAATTGTGAAATCATAATAATGAAATAGCTCCAAGCCAGTTCAGAGACCTGAAAAATAAACAAAGGAACATACGTACCTACGTGCTAGGATACGTTACACCAGTTCGCATGACTCGCGGGAATGTACAGTCGAGCATATCAATTTTTGAGATCGTAAGGCAGAGGCTGGCCTGCGCCTCGATACTATTTTTAATCCACTGTGATAAATAGGTTCGTGCGACTGAGGCATTGTTTTAAGGAAACGAAAAAAAGAAAGAAAAAAATATGCATCTTATGTCAACATATATTTTTGGTTCAGTAAACGTATAAGCGGCTTTAACCCTCCAACGCTCGAGTGGAGTCCTAAAAGACCCCAGATCTTTCATTTCTTACTTCAACACTGGAATAATTTTTTTTCGGTATTAATTATTTATTAATTGACAATGAAATTGAGCGGCAAAACAAATTTGTTCTCTTAACCATATGTATTAACAAGAATAATTGTCAGTGCAAAATAATATTATTAAATTGGCCATTAGTATATTACATTAACGAAATGGGGTATATACGGACCCCACCCAAGTAATAGTGTTAAGAAACTTGACATTGAAGGGCTAACCAGATGTTCCTTTAATAACGTGTTATATTACTCGCTACTCTTTTTGGCAGTGTCCGGCGGACACTGCCTCTGCGCAACTGTCATATGTGTCGATAAAAAAAGGTTTGCACACAACTTACAGAAATACGACAGAGCGAGGATCGTATATTCACGTGTAGGGAGTCCAAACGAAATGGTTAAAACGAAGGTGGGTAAGATTAATAAACAATGCCCGTGGCCCGAGTAATCGATCCGACTCTCCGAGGTCTCTGGGTCAGGTTTCCGCCATTCTTGAAAGCCTAACTCCTCGTTCCAAATTCGTCCGCCAGTGTCAAATTCGCGCTTCAATAGGGTCTGTCGTAAAGCTACAGGCTTGGCTGCACTGGGTATCAGGCCTAATCCTGTTTCTGGGCTATCGCATCCAATATATGTTTATCTAGGTTACATGAAAAGGCTGAAGATATATCGTATTGAATAGCCACAATGACCCTGTGGAATTTACTCGAAGAAAAAAAAGAATAGAAAAAAAATGAAAAAATCAGAAGTTTACTGGACATGTCAATAGAAAATTTTGAAATTCATAAATTCGCGAATACTTTTAATTCGGCTACCCTGTGTCATAAAAGTTAGAGTAGAATAGAAATTCTGAATTTTCGTTATTATCGTAAAGGATCAAGTAAAAAAGTTATAGTAGTTAGAGATTGATTTTTAATTGATTGAGTTAAAATTGATTTTTTTATTCGGATAGTATCTTCTTAAGGTGCCACTGGGTACGTATGATTCAGACATGCTTGTGGATTAAGTGAGAAGCTAAGCAGAAGTTTCTCAACGTAAATGAAGAAGGTCTCTATTTCAGGGTCTTTCGTTGATTGCCTATTAACTATTCAGAGTCTCTACACACCTAAGTCGATTCTTTCTACCGAATCTGAATACGAACTAGTTTTCAAAATCTGGGTTTTACTCTTCTTTGATCATCGAAAGTTTGCTTTCATACTTTTATCCTGAAAATAAATATTCAACTGATATTTACCTGCTTCACTTGCTTATTCTGGCCAACGGCGTTTAACGTTATAAATTAAAGGGCGATACGACGGTTTCGATAAACGTAACAAATGATACATGCGGAAAGTACTCTGCTTTATCTCGAGGATAAAACTGTGGTGATATTTTACCTCGCGACCGCCGGTAGGTACTCCGTATCAGTTACTCGCAAATTCAGCACATCGATTTTTCCAAATCGAACTACGATCTAAATACTTAATACTATTTCATATTATTCGACGTGTCACCCATATTTACTTTTTCTTTTCATTACATAATTTCGGTAATATAATTGAATTATTCCTGTTTCAGCCGTGGAAGTGCAACACGGATGGGCGTTTTCCGAAGATGTAAATCTATTAGCTTCCGGATACAACAACCCTATAGGAGGCAGTGGTGGCAGTGGAATCTTTTTAGGTAAAAATTCAGTATATAAAATGCGCTACACTCTCACGGTTATGTAATTCACAAAGTGGCCTTTCGGGACGTGTAATTTATCTTGTTGATGGAGGAAGAAATTATTGCATCTATCATAATTGCGTCGCGTCCAGTCTTATCTGGGAAGTAAGGGATACTAATGCTTTATCCGAATTATTAATAAATTTTCAACAAATCGAATCTCGATAATGTCAAGCAACTCTTACTCGGACATGATAAACCTCTAGATCGCCGCTCTTTTTCCTACTTTTGTTTCATTCTTCAATATATTTGATTAATATATATTTTATTTAAATAAGTAACCAAAATCTAGTAACCCATTTCACACCTACAACCATCCGGCGTTAAAGAGGTTAAAGTGTTTCCAAGCAATCTACTTCCTACTTCGTAAAACGACCCTGACATTGGATTCTACTCGAACATGATCTTAACCCGAAAACATATAAAACAAACAAGAGGAAAGAAAAAATAAAGTAAAACTAACGGTTAATTAGAGCATTATAAATATTCAACGAGTCCTTGATACATTACATCAGAGTCTAATCAATAATGCCGTGTATGACAGGATTTAAAAAATTTTCCTAAGAAATATGGGATTCCTGATGGATATGATAAAAAAAAATGTCACAGTACATAGAAGTCATGTTGTCATCTGTAAAAGACGAGTGGTGTATAATAACCGAGCGGACGACCAATAATACATGGAACACGTACAGCGTCGCGTCTGCTCAAAATAAATGGTGCGCATCGGCTTCCACGCGCAAATAAGATTCTAATGTTTGTTGTGGAGGATAAATTTATTTTAATGATTATCGTACTAGACAATCTCCACGTTGCAATTTACATAGCCACAACGATTTCCCATACTTACGAAAAATTGATTAGGCGATTCTATTAATTGCAATCAGGATCCCTTGATCTCATATCCACATGACGGATTACGTAAAATTGTTACGGTAACACATGAAAAACATACCGGATATACAAAAATACCCATAATACTTTTATGATCAAAGTGCACGTATTTTTTGACGAATATTTACTACTGTCAATATATAATTCGTATATTACATAACTGATACTTTAATTTTCATTACTTTCCAGGTCGCCAAGGTGTGGGTATTGCCGTAATGCCATTCGACCAAGAAAGTAAACTCCTGACATACGTAGTGCCGAAGAAAACAAATTCAACTATTTCAACTAAACAAACTAGAGCACCAACATTGGAAAGATCCCAAAGGATTGAGAAGAATTTGAAAGTGTCAGAAAAGTCGGAAGTATCGATAGACATGACAAATACTTATACTGTTGGAAACCTAACCCTTATTTACGATAACCTTCAGAATTACACAAAAGAAATACTAACGGAATCAGTAACGAACAAGACACTGTGCCACGATAATTTTTGCTGCAACTTTTTCGTCTCTATGAACGACAATGATCCCAGCGTAACATACTATTTGACTGTTTTCGAAGGTATTCGCGTTCATTTGGAAACTATAATGGCTCCAACCAGACTCTGCGGCGTCGTTCAATGCGCTAATAAGTCATCTAGTTCTTGCAGCCAATCTCGCAACACAAGCACGAGTTTCAATTCAATTTCGATTACGGCAACGTTTAAGAATTTCGATAAGTTTCTAATCATGCCCATGACACTAAATACTGCGATACTTCCAATAGACAATTTTTTGCACGAAGAACATTCCCATGGTAATGACAAGAACATAACGATATCATTAAATACAAAAACAGAAAACCTCGTGTCCTTTGCATTTTACGCAAGATACTATGGCAGTAATGATCCAGAATTAGAAAATAGTGCCGATATTGGATGCTTGAGTCCTCTACTACCGCTTGTTATATTATTGTATTTGACCATTATGGGATAGACCTGTTCTTATTAGAAATTCTTAATCCCGGCGTATAAGAAAAGTTATCATGCGTACAATGACTGATGAGGTCAGGAGAGTTCGAAGGTTTTACAAGTTGAATGTAATCATGCTATTATTTTTGTCATTGTCGAAAATATTTTAAATTTCTTTTACTCTTTCAATAAATGCTTAGGGTGAAATTCCGCTGGAAAAAAAATTCTTTATGCCCATGAACTTCGCCATTACATTCCTGTGAAACATATGTCACTCTCATATCATTATATACGATCACAAGACTCGGTCGTGTCTCGCGCCAACTGGCTGTACCTACACTGAGCGTCATTAATGGTGTCCAGCTTGTAGACGCAATGCGGTCAGGTAAGAGAGGAGAGTGAGCGGCCCCAGTTCACGTATCTTGGCTTTTGCGCGCAACGCAGGAAGTACTACGGTGCGAGCGAGACGTCAAGCCTTGCCAGAGCAACACTAGCGTCATACAGCCGACTCGTTCACACTAGTGCTTTGCTAAAAGGACACAACGAGCGACGCTTTGGCGTTTCGCTCGCACCCTCTCTGTTGCATGCATGGTCTGATTCTCAGTATACTTGTGTTTCGAATCAAAGAATAGAAAATATATTCATAAGATTAGATCGCTCATGAAAACCATTTCCGTCGTGTTGAACATGTTTTCGCATCTGAACTACCAATTGAGATATTTAGATGCTCAGTTTTTTACGGCACACGTAAATGTGTTCGTGTGTTGTATACTTCAATATAATTCCCGTATTTTAGGTGAAGAGCTTAAGATCCAGGGTGTCCAGTCCTAAATCGCTTGATATAAACAGATGTGGATATAATATATCTAAAATCTATAGGGGTTATTCAGTAAAATGGCATTAATTGAAATTGGTTTTATCACAGTAACCATATAAACAGGCTGACTTCGTATGGTGCGTTTGACATGAATAACCCTGTATAATTATTTAGAAGCAATGCATCAACTATGAAGTTAACGGGTCCATTTAATTTCTATGGAAAAACGATTCACCGTTGATCAGGCTAATATTTTATATATACAAAAACGTAAATACCCTGTGATATTTTACGCACTAATATTCGATGATACATTAATAATAACAGTGCTGGCCCTTGGCTCTCTCAGAGCATAAAGCCAACGGGGTCAAGAAGAAGATAAGAACAGTGAAAAAAATTACAATCTTATCCTGCTCGCGACTGATTGTTTTATTAAACTTCTGTATAATTCAGAAATAAATATGTATGTACAATCGCACAAATATGTAATTTGAGTACTATGTATATACATAAGTATATGGAAATATATATATCGTAATTTGGGTGAACGGAAATTACATAGTTATTGATTATAATGTAAGTAGTAATAGTGTAATCAGTATTGAAACTATTAACACTTCAACAATTAGAGATTCAATAAGTTTATCATTCGATGAAAAATATTTTGGCGTGTAACAATCTTTAAATATGTCTAGCGATTATGCAATTTTAAGTGCTCATACATTGAAAAATTGGCCATTTAATTGATAGGTGGAAGCACTATTGCAACTCTGCCTGATAAATTATTAATTCAGACTTACAAAGCTCCCTCGCTATTCATTTCTGGGAAAATAACTTCATTTGGCATACTAAAGACAAGTTGCCGGTAGGTGACAAAAGAATTTTTTCAAAATTAATAAGTCAATTTGTTAACATTAAACGTACCGACAATTTTTTATAAACTTTTTTTTTGGCTTCAAAACGGTCAAATGACTGGTCGATGGTACGTTTAGTGTTAATAAGAAAAAATTCATACCTAATTATATGTAAAAGTTTGAAGCTTTTGTTAACGATATGTCCAATGAAGCGTCATAATGTCGAAAATAACGTATATTTGAGAGATAACATATTATCTTTCAGCAGTATGTCTTTCAAATTAAAAGCTCATAAATGAGATGCACCGCATGTTTCATGCGGTCGAACCTAAAACTGAAAACAGTATACCCTTCCTAATCATCATACTGTTAGTTTCTATCAAATACTTCCATATATCAATAACAAACACAGAATTGAATTCTCTTTATAATTGATTGCATGCGAATTAATAGACAAAATTATCATTATCCGAAGGATGGCCATCGATAGATAGTAAAATAGTACAAAAAAAAATTAAACCGACTGAACTCTTTTGTTCGTCTGTATTTTGAAAAAAAAAAAAGAGAAAGAATAGCACAACTTCAATAATTAAATTGACGTACGAATTTGTCAGTAACTTTTACTGGCAGATATATATATATATATATATTGAGCATAGTATTAATTCTGGTCCAGAAGCTTCATCATAAAATAATCTTACAATACGGTAAAGACCAAAATTAATTTTATCTTTATCCATTGCTCGTATGATATGTTAAGCATAAATATGATCACGTAAAGTCATCAAAATATATTGCTATTATTATAAGCATTAATTACATGTATTAATATTAGGTCGAATACCCATTTACAGTCTACTGCCTGCCATTTTAAAGACTGATAGTTTTCGAAATCATTACGACATTATTGCCCGTAATACTCTCAATCTATTCACAATTAACGGCCTATTTTATGTAGTTATTCGATGTATTAAATTAATTTCATACAACTCTACTTTTCCATCGGCACTTCAATTTATTTACAATACGTACTATTTTCTACTACTATGACTCTTGATATAGCGATTTCGAGAAGATAATAGAATTTCAAAATTACATGCATCAAAGTTATTCATTGCAGAGCATATAAAAATATTTTCAATAAACACAATGTACTGAACATATTGATTCAATCTACAAGATCTCTGTCAATCGGCGTGGTGAGATTATCACGTGATACAAATAAAATAATGCTGTTCGTTGAGTTAAACATTGAAGAAATCAAAGGATAAAACATTTTGTTTTGCAAATTGCGTTACTAATGTTTTACTTACAAGCCACGAAACTGTCAACTAGGAAGACTAACTTCAATCAACTTTCAGCTGATAATGAGAACAAACATGAATCGTATTTATATTAATTAAATTAAAAAAGGGGCTTTGTATTGGGAGAGCATGACGAATTTGACATTGCATATTTGATGAGCCTCATCATCAAAATTTACATATTGGCAACTTCGAATCATTTAATAAGACTTATCAAATATACGTTATTGGCCCCATTTCACTAATCAGTCCCTTATGTTTTTCTTTTCCCCTAGTGGGTGTCCCCTAATTATCGTGATGCGGGAATAACGCTACACTTGCAAGTACTCATTAGCCCTATAGTGATGAGATGAAAAGTTTTAACTGTAATTCTTAATACGGGCTTTACCATGCTTCTCTATCTCTGTTGTAAAATTAGGCAAGACAAAATATATGACCCACCTATGCACCTCACGCCGTAATGTGAACCATTATTCTTTTGAATGCGCCATTACGTACTTAATTACTCCATAAAATGTTCTACGCTAAAGGGAATACACGGAAGATAGCAATGATAATCATTTTGCTTATACAATACAGGAAAATGGAATTAGTAGGGTTTCATAGAATTCATCTCATCACCAGAGAGGGACAACGATAATTAATTTTATACCTAATTTTCCATAAAGGCGATATTAATACTCGAAAAATACTGTAAGTTCTATAATAGGCATAGGTATCCGTTTTCCTATAATTTGATAACAAGTGCAATTACAATATATCAGAGTGGTTAGCGAAAAAACACAGTATGCTTATAGGCTATTTTGATTGTGAGAGAAACCTCTTCAATCGTACTCATATTCAGTAAATTAAATGATAAAAAATGCTCTTCCGATCAGACACCTACTTCTTAAGTGTAAAATAGATATATCGTCGACATTTCTTGTTACAAAAATGTATTACATTTCTTAAGCTACGGTTAGACTCTTATGCGCAAACTGTTAATGATAAAGTTAGTGTATTCATGTGCAGACCGCGTGCGCATAAATATCTTATGCTACCTCGTGAAAGAAAAATTCAAACAAATGTTTTCGATGAAACCGTTTGAAAGCTGTCAACTATATTGCTGCCACATGTAAACTTTTCTTGCAATAATTGCATTGCGTATCTCCTCGACAAAAGTTTATGCAACGATACCTCTTTCAGGAAGTTAACTTACAAAATAATGTGTAACTACAGTATACACAATTGCATTTGTATCAAATGTATATTACATTCATACAGTCTGACTCGTGTTAATACTTTTCTTACGAAATCTTTGTAATTCATAAAATCCAATTGTCAAAATATAATTGAATAAATTTCAGCATAAGTTCTAATCACTTTGATTAAAAGTGATTAGATAAGCAAAGTGAAATCATGTAATTTTTAGTATAACCGTAGCCTCACGTTTCTGAATTTCATTTCGCACAGGGATTTCAAATCTCCTTTCGTACTCCAATGAAAGATTCACGTAAAGGTAAAACCAAAGGTTGAACCTCTCGTATTGGTGTAGCTTGTTCACCGTCAGTAGCGTCTCTGTTGCCATCGTGAATATCGTTGGAAGATGAATTTAAAGAAGGCAGAAGAGTCTCCCTTTCGTCCTTTGGCAAAGAATCCTTATGGGTATCTAGATTCTCACATTTCGGGATATTATCAACATTATCATCATGCGCGTTCTTATCGAGGCACTTTTGAGTTTGCACGAGCAAACTTACGTCCGCTATGTTATCATTTAATTTCGAATTAATTACATCTGCCGATACCTTTGATATGATACCATATTTTTCTACATGTCCCTTCGCTAAGTCTCTTTTGTTACTGACTAGACCTGTGGAACCAGTTTCGTCTACCGTCATCGTAGAAGAGCTTGGATTAATATCTAAGTCTTTAAAGCCACTAATCGTTGAATCACTATTTAGAAAGTATGGCAAGGGTGCAGCAGCATTGCTAGTGTCATTAGAAATACTATCAATCGGATCGAAGACATGTTCAGTTTCCAAAAAAATCCCTTCGTTTTCTGAATTTCTGGAACGATAGGCTCTTGTGCGATCTTCACTTCCGGATAAACTTCTTTCAACCTCGCGCCAGTGTCGAGGAGTATCATCCGTACTCGAATTTGCACAACGTCCCGTACGACGGTTGTCTAAAAATACGTAGCGACTGTCGCCATTTCTGGAGACTTGAACTGGATGTTGCGCATCAACGTTATGATGACTATCCGTCAGCAGAGAATCCGTTTCCATGTACTCGGGTTCAAAATTCTGTGAGTGCGACGTGATATTTCTTGCAATTGTAAAACTACCAGCCGACCCGGTGCTACTAGAGTCAGAATTACCGCTTGCGTTCAAAGTAACGTTGTCCGAAATGTTAAATGTCGCGTTTGATATATTGTCGCAATTAAGATTAAAATTAAATATTCCAAAACCGGGTTGTACTTGAGGTCTTGGTATTTGACCGGACGTAAAGCACTGTATATTCGGAAAATTTGCACCTGATTGAATACTGGAAGAGACTCTAGTAGTCGATGAATCCGTATTTTCATTACTTACGTTACGTTCGTTAGTTATTGCTTGTGAATTTTCTGCAGTGTATGCATTGGAATTTGGAAATGATGAGGTTCTTTGGATTGCAGGAGGCTCCAATAAATTTTCACAAGATACATATGGAGGTGGAGGACCTTCTCTTGGTGGAACAGCGACAACTTCAGAATACGGTGGCGGCTCTACAGGGCGTCCTACGAATTGTACTTCACCGTTTATGTTATACATAAAACTCACGCCTAAAAATAAAAATTCTCATTCGTACTTGGATTGCTATGGCAAAGAACGGTCTATACCAGTTTTATTTAGGTCTACAGAATTTGTTTTTTGTTTACAAAATCCAATGAGTGAAATCTTATGCTTACCTCCAGGTCGATTTGCAGCCGTTGTTCTATTTAAATACACATCAAGATCATAGAGTGGTACAGTATGACGTGTGCGGGAACAACCAATTCGCATTTGCTGAGAACATCGTGAATTCATTGCTCTTTTCATTTGTACTCTACATATCGCTATCACTAATATAGTTACTATGAACATAAAGGCCATTGCACATCCTGAAATAATTTTATCATTTCATATAGTACAGTTGTCATTTTATTATAAGTGTGTATGTACATTCGTTATTGCCATGATTTACATCAGAGATATCATTATTACTTACCAATTACTGTGTAAATTGTTATTTGAAGGAAACCTATATCCGTAAATCGTGGATGATCAGGAGATGGTTCAGGATGAGCCAATTGCGAAGTAGCAGTACAGTTATGTTGATCGCAACACCATTCAGGTGGCATGCATCTTCCATAGCAAAACATTTTTCCAGCACAAGGATCTTTACCACAACCAGCAGCTTGACTTTCATCCTCACCATCGTCACAATCTTTTTTACCATCGCATACAAAACGGTTCATGATACAAATTGTATTATGGCATCTAAACCATAACGGACCACATTGTTTATATTCTGCAAATAAAATATTTAAAATCAATAAAATTTCATTGGTAATCAATGGTTAAAATAATGTTAATTATACTTTGAAACATAAACATTGTGATTATTTAGGTTACAAAACTATATAACTATAGATCAAAAACTTTGCATGGACTTTGCATAAAAGCAAAACAGACTTACTGGGTTTGACGGATAATCGTATGCTGGTGGAGAGTGATTTTTGAATAGTTGAATTAAAAGCAACAGCCATACATTTATAATCACCAGCATCTTTCTCAGTAAGATCACTAAACCATAACCAAGCAGTATTTGGAGCTTGTCCTCGTTCCACTCTAGCTTCACTATAAAGTCTATTCCTATTATTGTAATAATAAACAGTTATATTACTTAAGATCATATATAGAAACTTACACAATAATAAAACTGAATAATAATTCAACTACTAATTAAGGATCTTACCCATTCTGTATATGAGCAGGTATAATCCAATCAACAGTATATTCAAACAATGGTGGATCTTTTTTGTCATTATTTTGATAAACAGCTGTGCAAGTCATATTAAGAGATTCATTTTTTCTACGAAATATGACCTTATGTTCAGAAAAATTCATAATTTCAGGCCAAATTTCAAGTTTTATCAAAGGTCCCCCTGACCATGGATTCAAAATACCATTCATTGTGGAACCTAAATATTTATTATAATTATATTCTATATTTATTTCAGCCTGTGACACAAAACTTAATGCTGATATCATAAACAGTGCTCACTCTATTAGATAAGACAACAAATGGGACGCAGGAGTAATCAGAATACTAACAGTAACTTTTATATTACACCCTCTGAAGCATTAAATATAATCAAATATCTGACAGGTGACAATCAAAATTTAAAAAAAAAGCATAAAATAATTGATACGCAACTCATTATAACCATAACCCCAAATATATTCAAAGAGGAAACTTACATTTCAGCCTGTCTGCCATCCATGTCAAAATTATTGCAAGCAGAACGAGATATTGCATTATGTAGCATGATAACACTAACAAAACATATTCAGTACAAAAACTAATCTACTTGCATTACACCATAAAAATGACAACAGACCAGTGGACACAACAAAGATCAACAATGATATTCGAATTTATGAATTCAAAGTTTTGAAAACAGGAAAAACACTTTCTTCAAATACACAATGGATATACAACTATTTAGAAATAATTTTATTCTTTCACAGCCATTGTCTCGTATAAAGCTTAACCACGATATACATATGAAATGACGACTTATCGACATAATAACAGAGATGAGTAGGGAGATACACAACGCTACGGTTTTAGGCGATACCAAAAACATGGCGCTAAATCGTAGCGACGAGTTCGGGAGTAGAATTTTGAGATCATCGCCTCCGTCGATAATGCATATCGCATCGTAGCCGAGCTGAACGTGATCACGAACGTGTAGCACCGTCGTGGCCTTGTTTCCACCGTGCAGAGTTGAAACAGAGTTTAGCAGCCTCGTTGGTCAATTCCATTCAGCTTCTATACATGATTGATTAACTCTGTTTAAACTCTGCACGGTGGAAACTAAGCCCGTGCATATGTTTCTACCGTGTAGGGTTGAAATAGAGTTAACCAATTAAAAACGAAATTTGAGCGGAATAAGCTAACTTGATTGGTTAACTCTATTTCAACCCTGCATGATGGAAACATAGGCCGTGGTACGGGCCGTGCACATCAAAAGCAGCGGGAAACGAGCAGCAGGCAACAACCAATGGGCAAGATGCTTCGGATCTGAGTTCTGACGTTAATGGCTGTTACGCTTTGCACATTGGTCGTGGATTTGCTACTCGCTACCTGTTGACTTTGGTGTGCAAGGTGCATTAGTTAACAATAATAAATAGTATAACTTAAAATACCGACATGGGAAGAACAAAAAAGAAAAAGCGGACGTCAAATTTCATTGAGGAGGAAAAATTTATGTTGGTTGATTTAATCACCGAAAAAAAACATATAATAGAAAATAAAGGAACAAACAGTGCAATTATCAAGGAAAAAGAAAAATGTTGGGAGGAAATAACCAACAAATTTAACAGTGCCTCTACTTTCACATATCGAGATACGCAGGCATTGCGAAATTGTTGGGACAATATCAAAAAACGAACAAGAAAATACTTCGCAGAAAGAAGAAGAGAAGTGTTAAAAACGGGTAAGTATTGAAACACGTAAAATAAGTACTACATATTTCATTTCTTGCTTTATTATATTTTTAGCTGAATCAAAAATAGCATTAAATGAAATTCTGGCAAAAGATGAAACAGAAAAACACTCAATTGAACTGGCGATTGCTGAAAAAAAATTGATTTGTGAGAAACTACAAATAGACATTTTAAAAACAGAATTAGAAATCAAAAAGACCATCTTAATCCGGGAAAAAACTAAAAATGCCATGTTGGGAATACTAAACGAAACAGAATAAAGATAAGATTACACAAATCATGACAGCTTTATTCATTAAAACCTTTTTCAACATTTGTTACTTATCATAAATCATGGTTTTCCAATTTTTACAAAACAATTATTTCCAAAATCAATTTTATGTACAATTCAATCTTTTGGTGAATGTCCTTGAATTCCTTCTGTTATTTATAATTCGAGTTATCAAGTGTCGACTTGATTCCAGACTTTTACAACCTGTGGAGAAGCAAATATTACTATATCATTGGAATAAATATAATTTGTAATTTTAAGAAAACTATGTCGTCACTATGACTGAAATATCTATGTTAACACACTGACTTTTTTGTATTGGAATCGAATATTATTTAAGAAAATAAATGGAATTTTTATACAAGTAATACTTAAATGTTAACTCTATAATGTCCAAATCCGCCTCCAGGCAGATACATCTTAGAACAGCTAAGCATATCCCAACTGTCTGAGACATAAAATTTGGGCTTTACAGGGTTAAGGTAAATTCTTTGTAGGTTCAATCAATGGAGAAAATAGATAATGTATAACTTTACCTTTGAAAGAAATTATGTATGAGGTTATTCCGAACAAATGCATTTTGTGCATGCTCATTTTGAGGTACATTTAGTGGAGGAATGTTCTCATACTCTATCAAATTATCCCAATCTGCAGGTAGATTAATATTTGGATCGTTCACTGGCACAGGATCTGCTATGCGACAGGCAATATTATGCAACACAGCTGTTGCTACAACTGTCTTCAAGTTCGTTCCATTGAATATCGTATACCTAGCGCTAGAATAGGGAATCTTCTCTTCCAAATTCCAAATAAACGTTCAACTGTGTTCCTTGTGCGTATGTGTGATTCATTATACCGTTGTTCTGCTGCTCTTCTGGTTCTTTTGTGGATTTAAAAGAGATGTCAATAAATATGGTTTTAGAGGATAACCATTATCACCTAGCAAATGGCATCTCCATAATGACCCTGCTTAAATGTTTCGCAGAGTCGGCTGTTATTGAAAATTGTGCTGTCGTGTACGGATCCTTGCCAACGAGCGACGATATCAGTTATTTCCATGTTGGCGTTTGAAACTGCTTGAACGTTAATTGATAAGTAACCCTTTCTATATCGAAAAAGTTCTGCTTCTTCTCTACCTGTAAAAAATTAAAATGTAAACTATATTAATACAATTTTTTATCTCAATGTAGAATATTCAATAAAGAGGTTTTACTTTCCGAAGGATTTTACGTGGCAATATGTGCAGTCTATGCAGCCAATGATTTTTGGAAACCTTGCGATTCTGTAAAACTGTTCTTGCTGCTGACGAATTTCCTCATTTGTTGAAGAGCGCTTCACAAAACGTGGTCGTAATCTAGCAAGGACATTCGTTACACGAGAAGCAATGCGATGTGCAGAAGTTGTGCTTAAACCAGAAAAATCTGCTACAGACATATACCGGGATCCCGTTGCGTATAATCGTAAAGTGAGCAACTATAGTTCTATATCATTTAATTCTTCAAATTAATTATGGCGAGTTTTAAATTTTTTCGTTCTTCTGTTAATAAAATCTATAATGTCTTCATCATCGGAAGACGATAACATGTTATAATAATACATTGACACACACACCTCATACCACATAATTGTATTTGAACGACGTTCACGTCTCTGAACGCTCGACATCGGGCGTTAAGTTAAACGCCGGTCATCTTCCGCTCAATGGTTGAAGGAATATAAAAATTCAGTAACCTGAGTTTAAACTAGGTTCAACACTGAATCGCGTCGGAGGAAACGGGCGTTAGTGTTGAAAGAGCGAATCACGTGGTAGCACTACACGTGCGCAGTTATCTCTTTCTTGAATACGTAACCTACAGCTTGGTTCGTAATGTGTAATATACCATGATTAGAATTGAAAGAAGCAAGAATGACCAGAAAGTGCATCGTGCCTGCTTGAATCACAATGGTAGGAATTTGCATTTAAAAATCTCACAGGAGTTACAAATAAATTCAGTAAAAAAGTTACGACATAAGCAAAAATTGACTGTATACGTTAGTATATCTCCTGTGAAAGATTTTTCATTGGAAATTCCTACACTTAAACCGGAGAAAGTCTTTTTACAAAGAGAATTGGACCTTGTGGAACCAATTTCATATAGTGATGAAACATAAATTCAACAAGTGTAAAAGAGTGAAAATATTTATACTATTGAACTTAACTATGAAAAAAATTTTACTTGTGCAAACATTTCAGTTTTTGTACTTGTCCAGAGGTATTGTCATCAAGTTAAAAATTTTCATAACTTTTAGGTGAATTGGTCCATTAAACTCTAATATTTTAAATCACCAATTCTTTATTTGTCTAACTTTAAAATTAGATTGTTTAATTTTATTTAAGTGGCATCGCATCGGTTTTTTGTGTGTAATTTTCCTTTTGAATCGGAGATAAGAGTTGCAGTGATTATTCATCCATACGCAACTAAGAGAGATGTAATTACGTTATAATACGGTCAATATATTTCGGAACGCACCCCGACTAGCATACTATTGGAATAAGAAAAAAAGGTTTGTTCGTGCAAGCGCTTTTATTGCACTGGAGCACTATAGGTGTGTTCGAAAATGGGGCGAGAGCGTATAATGCATCACTGTCTTCTCTGTTTATTGCATGCTTTTGATCGAGATACAAAATGCTCTCAGCACTCTCTGCTCATTTGTGAAGCACCTAGGGGTCGATTGTGTTATTCAAATATAGTGAAAATACGAAAAGTGAATAACTGTTAGCCAATCGCTGTGCTTATCTTCTTTTGAACCTAACACGCGATTGGATAACAGTTATTCACTTTTCGTATTTTCACTACATTAGAGTTACACAATCGACCTCCTATAGTGCTTCGGAGCACGTACAAACTCTTGCACGAACGGACCTAATATTTATAAATTAAAGTTGGCCGGCCAACTTCACACAGGTGATGCATTTTAATACTTGATATTATTCCAGATGTTGGCTACACTGAATGGTAATGTTCATACCATATTTTCCGAAGTATGTATCTGCATTTTCCAATTACTTCATGGAACATGCGCATATTCATGTCAAGTGTAGTGTGAGGGGAATAATATTTTGGCTATCGGGGGCCTAAAACTAATTAAAATGGTAAGATTACCAAAGCTTTGCAAAATGTGAATTATGTGGAAACGATCAACTGTGTGATATCGAACTACGTACTTTCATAGAATGCCTTCAATATATCATACGTTTGACGTAGTGAAATAACCTATTCACTTTCAACGTTAATAATTTTTTGGATGCAATTATTAATCAAAATTTTAAAAGCACGTTCTAGAACAGGCATTTTTTTAAACTGGATATAAATATATTAATAGACAGTTTGATTATTATAAATTTGTGCAACTTTATTAATAAGTACAAGTTCTTAGAGATAATTTTAATACGTCTATCAAATTCTTCAACTACCTGCCAACACATAATGTTTTATTCGTTATTAATGGTTTTGCAAGAACAACATTCGTTAAATATTACAAAATTTTATATTCATTTTGGTTCTGTTGTTTGGAACTGTTAACAATTGTTTTGGGAAAGTAATTGTGGTTTTGTGACATATATATCAAACAGATTGTATGTATAACAATGCAGTTGTTTAATTATCACAAAGTGTAATATTTCTTTATTTATGAGGCAGGATGCATTATGAATATATATTCAAACACTGATAAATAAAATATTTAACACTCTGTTTCACTTTAAATCATATATGTTAATATTTCAGCATAAATTAAAATTCTCGCAACGAGACAAAGTTAAGAAATTTATAACATTCACACAAACTGGAGAGCAAACTGCTATATATTGTTTGACATTGAATGATTGGAAGCTAGATCTAGCAAGTGATAACTATTTTCAAAATCCAGATGCATATTATAAGGAACCTAAAACCTCTGTAGATAAGAAAAAAGTTGAAATACTATTCAATCGATATCAGGGTAATGTATTGCACTAAATAATTTATTATCTATATCTTTTACAACCATTCTTAACTAATAGATATAATTCCTGTATAGCATATCTATGGTATTAATATATTTAAATCAGTGTGTAATAGCCATTGAATATAAATAATGTTTTTGATGTAGTAAAATAATTTGTATAATATGTATCATATATGTAAAATTATATGTTTGAACCTTATCATGGCAGATCCAAGCGAACCGGAAAAAATTACAGCAGATGGCATAATGAAATTTCTTGATGATTTGAACTTGAGCCCAGAAAGCAAATTAGTATTAATTATAGCCTGGAAATTTCGAGCAGAAACTCAATGCGAATTTACAAAAGATGAATTTATAAATGGCATGATTGACTTAGGGTATGTGTTATTATCTTAAACCAAATCTTTCATTAATAAATAAAAAGATAATATTTTGTATGATATTTGAATACTTTGATACGATATTAGGATTCCTTGTATGTTTAATATTAAAATGTTTCAAAATATATATTTTTTGTAGTGTGGATAGTATTGATAAACTTAAAGCACGCTTAAGCAGTTTAGAAAGCGAACTAAGGGATTCCCACAAATTTAAAGATTTTTATCATTTCACCTTTAATTATGCAAAAAATTCTGGACAAAAAGGTTTGGATCTGGATATGGCAATTGCATATTGGAATATTGTGTTGGATGACAAATTCAAATTTTTATCATTGTGGTGCCAGTTTCTACAGGTATATGGTCGACCTTCTCAAATTTTTCTAAAATATTCAGTGTCAATTATGTACAATTTAATTGATTCAATTATTTGTTTTCAGGAACATCACAAAAGATCAATCCCAAAAGACACGTGGAATTTGCTTCTAGATTTCGCACTTATGATCAATCCTGATATGAGTAACTATGACGAAGAAGGTGCTTGGCCAGTTTTAATCGACGATTTCGTAGAATGGGCACAGCCTCGGGTGCGTCAGACTCTCTAACATGATTTCACTAAAATGTTCATATTCGAGTCAGTTATATTTACTTGCTGCAACATCAGCACTTCCCAAAGAACATCGAACTAAAAAGAGGATGAGTTCTTTATCGCAGCTGGATTGCAAATATATTGCTTTGTACACAGTGCAGTTGTTTATACTGTAACGTCTCTGAAGAAAATTATTAGCAGAATATTTGCAAATCATTTCTTACACTAAAGGATCTAGAGAGTAGAAGGTAGATTGAATTTTTTCGTTTATATTTTCCAGTTTCCTTAATGCGCTGTAATCTTTATAATTATAACTTGACACATTTTTCTGTGGAATATATAACCTGCATCAGGTTTTAGTACTATCAAATGTACTTCCTTTTATTATGCAATTTACTGAAGAAACTTTATCATTGTGATTCAAATATTCTGTTATTATATGAACTTAACTGCACTTCATTTGTGTATAAACATTTTGAGTACTATACGAGTTGCCACAGATAGGTCTTTAGTAAAGAAAACTATGCTCAACTACCAACGGTATGTGCAAAGGATTTTGATTGAAATTCTATAGTCACGTTATTCGGTTAATTGAATAAACGCGGCTTCAAAAGCTAATTTTACATAAATTTGTTTATACGTTTCTGTAGATAGTAATTCATAGAGATTATGTTGTTGAAGCTCGTTAAGATATGATTACTTTAACCACACTACACTTGTAAAATACAAACAAAAACGTGAGGATAAATATGAAAGCTCTGTTTTAAAAATAGAGGTACCCTAGCATCGTTACACTTATTTTATTCTTTCTTCCATTATCCTAAAATGGTGACAACGGAAAAAGAGAAAGGTTTGCTTTTTCTACGCTATCACATACCAATGTATAAATTACGATGATAAAATACTTGAGGCGATAGATAAAATAAATTTTTTTTATAAACTAACCGATTGAGTTTCATTTCTGGCTGCATAGGCGCTAAACTATTACGTGTTTCAAAACTTGTACACATTTTCTGGATGAATATGTTTTTTAGAATAGAGTTATGTCGATAAAAAATACTAACAGTAATCCATAACGTGATTATAAATATAAATTATTTAAGTTACACTCAATTCACATGCTGGTGTGGTACTAAAAAAATCTAAAGAAGTTTGTCTCACATAATTATAGTAAATTGTTAATAAAGAAGAACTTATAGAGATCGCATATGGATAGATTTTCGTGATATACAAAAGTTTTATAATTTATTAGATCACATAAAATTAATAACTAATTAGTATTCTGGAGTATTGAGAATGAGGATTTTCCTTCCATAAATATGACTTAAAAGGAACCGAACGTTGTATTATTCATACATGATATAATATATATACATACATATATGAAAACTGTACATACATATAAGTCCTTCGAAAATTATTAATCTATAGAGTTATGCACTCGTGTTTTCCATACACTTTCATGTGCGTATAGTAGAGTATCACTCAGAATTTTATTAACAGTTCTGTTACAGTGACAGTTGGTTTTAAAAATGTACTGGTAATTCTTGTAACATGACCAATACGTTGTGATCGTCGATTTTGCTCATTGTCAAAACGAGTAAAGAAGATCATATCATCATATATATCTTCTAAAGTAGATGTCACGAAAACTGAAAGACGCAAACTTTATTCAAATTTGTTCCATTTGAAAATTTTAAAAAACCAACAATCTTGTTATTATGTATGACGATAGTCGGGTAACCTTTTAAAGATGTGTGTATGTATATGTGTATAGATATTAAAATATCTATGGGGACATACGTAAATGTACATACATATATATTCGATGGCAAGCAAAGCAAACCATTATACAAAATTCTAGAACACATTGTCCATTAACGAGATATTTTTAAGAGCCCATATATTTTATAAGAAAACGTCAAGTGCAGATCAAAAATGAATATTTCTGGCGTCTTCATGTTATAAGACACGGAATATTTAAATAATATTGCATGATACGATTTGCGCAATACTCAAACAATTTCAAAAATGTACAGTGATTTCGGCTATTACTTTTGTTCGGGGGGAAATAACTAATATTTTTATCGGCATCCAGTTTCAGCATTGTGTAAACAAAGTTTTAGAAGCATCGAACAAGATTGTATATAATGTAAATATATATGTAAGATTATTCTGTCTCTAATTTAAATTGATTCGGTGAAATAAAATCGTAAGACACTGCTACATTATGTGTAACTTATTGTCATTGTAAGATTGTCTTTGATTGAAATTTAATAATTTTTAAAATTCTTTCTCATAACCGTAAACCTTTTTATTGTAGACGTTTTTATTTTATCCAAACCAATTTAAGACTGCTTGCGACAAAACACTATTATTTCAGAATTGAAAAAAGCATTACTAACGGTGTAGGATAGAAACTTTATCTGTGCTTACTTCTACTATTTTTGAAAGAATATCGTTTTATGTAGCCTTTGAAGTATTTGAATGGAAAGTGCGCTACATAGTAAAGAGATCATAACATTCGTTATAAAAATAATTGCCGTGTTAAATTATAATAATATTTTTTTAATATTAAAATTGACTTGCACGGTACCGCTGAAATGTTCTGTTTCTATCTTACTTCCAAAGCATATTTAATTCTATATTTAAAATATCTAGAGTAGAAAGTTTTAAATCGAAAATTAAGTTGTACTGTGACAGATCTATATCTTTAGGTCCAAACTAAAGTTAGATAATTTAAACATAATTTGAAAAAATTTAATTTGGAATAAAGTAGCATTTAACTGAGCAACTGTATAAAAAATCTAGCATAGTTCATAGCCATAACCGAACCACTTAACTACTCACGGATGTTAATCAATCGGTACATGTCATATATTTATTGTTTGTTTTTTATATTCAAGACCCAGATTTACCTTGTAATTGTAAATTCAAACTTAGCCAATCTTTTTTCTAGATTAGTCTAAACCGTTCGAGCTAATCCATCAAAAGGTTTAAATCGTTATATTTAACGAAAGTTTTGTCCAAAGAGGAAAACCATTGTGACGTCATATAATGTAAGCTTCTTGTTAATTTTTGTAACTTTTTAAAGAATAAGCTTTAGACTGATGCAAGACTTGGGAGACCTTATCCTACTTGTACCTTATACCTCCTGTACACTTCAAATATTTCCACATATCTAGACAAGATTACTTTGTTTGGTACCTTGACATGAATTATTAGGAAGTAGTCCGTCTTGATGATACTTACTCTGTCTAGTCAGAATACTAAAAAGAACACAGAACAATGAAAGAATGTCAATTTCTAAAGGATTGGGTTAAAGTAAGTCTTCTTTATTGCCGCAATGCTGTTATAACTCATATATATCCTCATTTTTTAATATTTAATGTTATATACAATGATGCATACAAATATTTTATTTTGTGATCATTTCTATTATTCTATTTTTATTGATTTCAAAGTTTTCTGTTTCTTTCTCCATATTGCTTCTGTTTAGAAAGAAAAAAAGTATCTTTACCGTTGTCCAAATGCACTATAGGATTAATGTTATTTCAATAGCTTTTTTCATAAATTATTAATTATCGTGTGTATAATTCTTGTAATATCCTTGGCATTCACAGAGAGAATTTTTTGGGTATAAGAAAGCTAATTCATATTGATTAGCTTGTGCATTGTAACATTCATGCAAAACAGTATTTACGTACCAATTACATAAAATATGCAAATTATCTGTATCCACCTGTAGAAAAAAAAAATTATTTAAACTTCTTCAAAGTGCAGAAAGTATAAAAAAAAATTAATTATAGATTTATAACATCTTACATACTTATTTATCTAAAAATTTGATAAGAAAAACATTTCACACTATCACATTATGATATAAAGCTAAAACGGCACAAATGTCTATGGTAAATACTAAAAACGCCTATACTGATAAAACCTTTTTTTTTATTACCTGAGCGACTACTAATCCACGCTGAGGGTATTCGTTAGTGCTATGCCCATGAGAATCAAACAATGTGACCTAAAATCATGAAACATTATAAAAATGAACACCCTGTAGAGTTCAATGGCAACTTAACCCTTTTAGTGCCGGGCGAAAAACCGGTGCCTAAGCGAGAATAACCGGACGAATTTTACGAATTTTACGAGTTGGGAAAAAGGTCATAAAAATTAAACTAAAAATGATAATTACATAATTCAAAAAACAACGTATTACAGAAGGAAGAGAGAATAATGTAATGCTAATTGTATTTCAACATTTATTTTGTGATAGAGCTTTCTCGCCAGGCGAAGAATAAGGTGCCATCGCATACGCAACGATATATTGTCGTCCGGCACTAAGAAGGTTAATGGAACATAGCGCACCTTAAAAGTTTGTTGCTGAAATATTAAAAGAATGGTGCGTCCACACGTGATAAGTAGCATAAATAAATTATCTGATTTAGGATCTGCGTTCCACTTGTACAGGAAACTCATTATGTTTGGGTACAAACTTGATCCAATATCGTCATGAAATATGCGAAACTTCTGCATGTACAGAAACGCAATGTTACAATAAAATATACAAGTATATCTGTACTAATGGTAAATTTCAGATTTGACTACATGTTAAGCACAGTAATCACCTACCCATTCTTTTAATACATATAAACTTTTGCGTCCAAATTTAAGAGCTTCTTCGGTATTAAGATATGGATGAGGTACGAGCGCTTTTTTTACTATCCAATCATGAGTTGCATTGCCTTCGACTATTGCTTCTGCTATAAGAACGTTTAATTCAGGACAAGTTTCCACCTTCCAAATGATTAATCCTGATCGAGCTATTCGTTGAGCTACGAGTATGCATATTAGAGTGCAGGCTTCGCTTACTAATTATACATGATAAATATATTAATTAAAATGGGAATTAACATGCACAATAAGAATTAAATAAATGAGGCCATGTAAGGTTTTTACTTTCTTGACCCGGTGGGTAACGGCTTTGGGAAAATTCCGGGTGATACCAGTATATATCTATTTTGTCTTGAAAAGAATCCTTTAAGAACGATGGAAAGTGGGAACCAAATAATGGTGGTAAGTTCATAACTGAGTATTAAAATTGGTTTGCTGCGTGACTCCTCGAACATTTAATTTTAACTCGGGAAAACATTTTTTGCTTTATATACTTTTACACATGTTTTATGAAAAGGTCCGAAAGTAATTTAACTTATTTTTGTAGCCATGATTGGCTGGTGTGAATCAGGATCGCGGATTTGATCGGCATTTTCAGACGATGTAAGCTGAGTTATGGCGAAAATGCCAACTATGAAACAAAAGAGTAAATTGCTGACAAATAATGGTTGATGCTACGTTCCAAAATTAACTTTGAGTACTCTGAGAATAGTTGTGTTTCTCTCAGATGCGTACAGGGAATATAAGACTCGAAATTGCTCGCAGTAGTGCACATGCATTTCGGAACGTGATCTGATTAGTGTATTTTGAATGTATAATGATGACAGCTGTCATAACAAATCGTTCTTGAAATGTCAATAAAATTGGTCAATGATTCACAAAGTTTTTCACGTAATACCTTATATATTTTGAAAAAGCTGTAAAATCATGTTAAATTGACGTAATATATATATACAGGGTTAGTCAGTAGAAACGCACCAGCAGAAGTTGGCCGCAAGTAGCCGACACGGCGGTGTGGCCTCTTCAAAAAATGACATGTGACTGTGACCGATTCCCATAAGCGTAAACTGACAGTTCGCATAGCAATAAGGTTTTTGAAATATTTCAATAGTTAGGTTACTGAAATAATTAATTAATATTGTAATAACAGAAAGGTAATATCAGTTAAGATTTATTCTCACATTAGATTGCAATTAAAACAATGTACAGTTTAAAATATTCACAGTTTTGATATTTCCAAGTAATGATCACAACTGCAATTCTGCAATACAATGTTGCAATTAATTTAAAAAAAAATTAATTGAAATGTTTTTATAGCAAAAAAGTGTATTTTTTACTCTTTTTTACTTTTTTACTTTACTCCGTATATTCTGCAAGATTTTGATTAAGCCTCAATTTTATATTGTGAATAAATTTTGAAAGTAAATCAAGATCCAATAATATTTAGTAAAAATTGAAGTGCAACACGGGTGTCAAGTTGGAACTGCACTTTCTTAAAAATGTCTTAAAAATGTTTCAACAATAGGCTTTTTCAATAGTTCTTGAGAAGTTCTATATTTCCCGGTCTCGTTCTAAGGGTTGCTTTGGGAACCAGCGGTGAGTAGCGGAGAACCTCTGCCCGCCAAGCTATACGTTTGTGTTTACGTTTAGCTCGGCTACGACGGGATTCGTATTGTCGACGGAGGCGATGATCACAAAATCCTACTCCCGGATTTGCTGCTACGATTTAATGCCATGCTCTTGGTATTGCCTGAAACCGTAGCGTGTGAATCTCCTTATACCTCTCTGCTATTTAAATTAAGAGTTCTGTCGCGGTGACGTTGTTGTTGCATGACGAAAATACGTTCGCTAGTGGTTATACCTCGTCTATTTGTATCATGGGCGAGACCAGGCGAGACAACATTTTTGCACGGGTTATACACCACATGCGCAGTTCAATCTAAAAAGGACAACCTGGTACATGAAGTGAGCGAAACAGCTGCGCGCTCACCGGACTACCTCAGAAATACAGCATACGCGTTCCAAGGTACTTATATTTCAGTGCCCATAAGTAAATTACTCACAATCTTATGAACGGCACCGTTTTATAAGTATAAAACTCAAGAAATATCCGACGTGTAAAATATTAATTTTTTCAACATATTTATCTTACAGAAAATTTAATTCCAGTTCATGTAAGTTCTTAGTTATATTTTATTAAAAATGATTTAGTTATAAAGATTATCAATACAGCAGTAAGGTTAATTTTAAGTTTATAGCAAATATAGGTGCCTTTAAACATTCAATAAGTGTTTATTATTTTTTATAATGAATTGTGTACAATGCACATAGTTCAGTCTACTTTTCAGTTTATATCACATTGAACGAGAAGTCAGTTAACATGCTTTCTTCTTTTTCTTATGACTTTATACTAACTGCATCAACTCAAAGATATATACATATAGTATATATATATATATATATATATATATATATATTCTTGGTGTTCATCTATCAGATATTATTAACATTTTATATTTAAGTATGTCTATCACTAAGCACTTTACATGTTTTCAGAATGAACAGTTCAACCGATCCACGACGTCCTGACAAGGAAGTTAAATACAAACCATCATTAGCAACTAGTCAAGCTCAGCCTGGAGATGATTTAACTCCTGACTACATGAATATATTAGGAATGATTTTTAGCATGTGTGGTTTAATGATGCGATTAAAATGGTGTGCATGGGTAGCTTTATATTGTTCTTGCATTAGCTTTGCCAATTCTAGAATTACTGATGATACAAAGCAAATTTTAAGTAGTTTTATGTTATCTATATCTGCTGTTGTTATGTCCTATTTACAAAACCCACAACCTATGACACCACCTTGGGCTACTGCCATACAATAATTTGTTACATATGGTTTAACGTAATCGAGATCATTATTACAAACAAGATTGCTCCATTGAATATTGAAATATGAGAACAGCTACCAATTATGAATACTATTTTTTGCAAGGAGCTTCACACTAATGACTTTTATAAGATATTTGTAAATTTATGAATTAATGCATTTTAATGTAAACATTGCAGAAATAAAAGTATCAATGATTCCCTGTACAATATATTTGAATATAATTTTTCCTCCAAATTTTCTGTGGTAGCAAAAATGACTCACCACTTTAATGCGTCAATCATGAACAATTTCAGAACCTATTCTAATATTTTTCTAAATGAGCTGGCTCTAGATTCTAACTGTGTATCAGTTACAAACTGTTTCACTTTTGACATTGCTTGAAGCAATTGCAACATTAGCTCAATTCTAGTTAAAAGATTTATGACATAAAACTGAAACTAAAAAGATTCAATATTCAGTTGTCTCATATTTAATAACAAGTGTCAATCATTTCCAAAGTATTTATTTCCCAATAATTTTATAGTTACCGACCTACATATGTTCGCCAACTTGCTACCACTTTCTAGAACGTCTTCACAAGTCTTCATCTTTCGGTACATTCGTAACGTCGGTATTTCAATCGATAACTGGAACTACAGCTTTCCGCAAAACCCAGGCTGCCATGGTACCATTACATGTCCAGGCTATTTACCTCTTCAGACAACGATACTATTGATAAGTGCTGCCGCGGTGGATAACGAATAAAGCAGAAGGTTCATTGCTGAAAAAGAATATAGAGATTAAAATTGTTCATTTTTCCAAGTGTGGCGTAAAACTGATCAAGGTAAACGAGTACTGTAGACGGAATAAACAAGGGATTCATACATTTGTTCTGTAATAATATGTAAGTCCTGAACAACATAATATTACATATAATGTGCATGTGAGTCGTAATTTCTCACTCATTTTCATGACTTCAATATGACAGCGTATCTAGCAACATTTCCATATATCTACATACAAGGGCAATTATTATTAATGATAAAAGTAAAATTTAGACCTCATAATTGACTCGTAGCTACAAAATTAATTCTGAAAAATTAAAGGAAAATGGTTGAACCGACCAGAACAAACAGTCAACCTTAAAAAAATTCTGAACCAGTATGTATGTTACGGAAATACCTTAGAATAAATATATTCCTTTAGGATAGAATATCACCCCTTTGAATTGCCCCTACAGGCAGGCAGTCTGTTCCAGTTCCTGTTCCACTAAAGGATTTCGATATTAATTTTATTCCATTCGTTTATTTTTCCATTCTCCCTATTCTCATTTTCGCAGTCTGTAGATGTGAAATTTATTACCCAGGCTGCGTCATTTCTTTCCACCGCGGCATGAAGAATGGCAGAAGCGGGAGTCCGATATCTGTTATAAGCGAGACAATGCATACCGATTCTTTGCATGTTGCACAAATATTAATGGCATGCCATTAAAAAAGATTTGTTTACCTCGTATTTCTTCGTTTTAAACTGAAATCGTACTTTCCACGCATCCACGCAATCCGCGTATTAGGAAACAAGTCTAAGAACATTAATAAAGGAGACTGGATTTAAAAACATTTTTATAGAAACTTCTTATAAATTTTTTATATTTATTTATTATTCAACAATACAATACCTGCTCGCTCGTAATTATTGACGATTCTTTACGAATAAAAATAAGATGAATATACTTATTCTAATATGGTACACGTTCAACACTGTTCCATAGCACTAACTGTAGGTACAGCAATCAGACTCACCGCCTCATAAAACCTCGCAATTAGGACATAAATCATTGTTGATTGCTTCGCAATATGGCGTTCACCGAGGGTTGGTCGTGATGGGGGTATATAGTTAGCATATTACGGGGGCTGCTCGTGTCTTCCGGCGTCTTGACTTAAACTTGAGGAGACTTTTAAAAGGGAGGGAGGGGGGACTCTTACACAGAGTTTTTTGCTTATAAATGTAAAACGACTTTGCGTATAGAATAATAATAACAATCGTGTCATAAGATAACGTTATGAAATACTATTAAGTAACTTATATATTAAACAACTATAATAACAATACCGAAGATCCCTTTAATCATTAAAAAAATTATGAACCAATAGGTCGTAATATCCTGATTAAAATTATTATCCATAAAATTCTATTGTCAACTAAACGTAAAAATCTATAGCTAAAAAAAAGTAAAGCGTAGTACTTTTAATGGCAATTTTAATAAAAAGAAAAATGGCAACCATGGTCATAAGGCTCGTGGTTGCAGCAGTTTGACAGTAACAGCTTGTAGCATTGTTATATCGAAAAACTTCCGTCATTAGTATAAAAACGATATTCTACCATGTCCGCTGGCTGTACCATCTACCCTTATTATCTTCACTTCTGCGTTTTATCCCACGCGAAAGACAGGTACTTGGCTCGCGATGAAGCTGCAATTTATAAATGAACATATGGCGCCCCGTCTCGATTTTAGAACGTACCATAACCTTTCTTTATCTTCTTTACTCTCTGTCTGTTTCCTATTTTATAATAAAATTCGAAGTGGCGTTGAATATATTTCTCAGGCTTCTGAAACGTTTCACTTGTTTCACGCTGAGTATACTTGTGCGTGTATCCATGTATCCTGTACGACGGAATAACCCAACCGATTTCGTATGTGCATTTTTCCACAGATTTTCAAGAACATGTCGGATGGCATGCTTTACTGCAAAATATGTTTTTAAGCAAATATATTCCGAGAACAGAAATATAATTCTGCAAATAGCGTACTGTTAACGTTGTGGTGTATGTATGAATTTTATTCATTTATTTTTATTTCGATATAACTACGGAAAGAAATGGAGCAGTTATAATATCTGCCATGAAAAAATAACCATAATAATTGATATTCTTATGGGTTATATACGTGGCTGAAGCTGAAGGTTCCTGTATGGTTTCCGATATTTTTCCAGGAATTGCGTGATAAGACCTCAATGCCAAGAGAAGAAGAGCTTCGGGTTATTTTTTCGTATCATCAATTGTCTCGAGCTTTTTTCACCCTCGGCACTGACGCAGGTGCTTTCTCATTCAAGATCTGCCTCGTGTTCCCTCCCTCTTCAGTTTATACTCCCTATTTACCAACTTCTTCTCCTTTCATAGCTTGCGAGACGCAAACATACCGACACGTGGGTTGTATCTTTTATTATTTTTTGGGCTTGTTGAATATTTTAATATTTGAGGTTATTTAAATAGATTACAGATTTTCATGTTTCGGTTGACAATTGAACTGGAAATATCGTTATTTTTCTTATCTTTATACTGTAAACTGAAAGTTTCTTTTAGGAAATCACCAGTGACCAGCTGCAGCAATGGGGATGATCCTTTGTCCTTTGAAAAGTTCTCGTCGCGGGTGGCCGAGTGCAACTTCATGCCCAATGAAACAGAAGGAGGATGAACCTTCTGTCTCATCCCACCAACGTTCCCTTCTTTATTTATTATCCGGCAATAGAAGAAATTTAAAGTTTCCGCGGTAATTTTACGGGTTATTTGCTGGGTTCCACTTGCTCTGTCTGTTCCCTAAGGACTGACCGAGATTAGATGTCTCAAAAGGTGAAGTCCATTTACTATTTTCCATAACAGGTTTCCCGAAGTATTACATAAATACAGTATTTCTTGCAATAAATTTATTTTTATTTTCCTTAAAAAAAACAATTCTCCAATAAATAGATATGACTATAGATCACAGTCTGTTGAAGTACAGTTCTCTAAAAGAATTTTAGAGAAACTTTATTTAAATAATATGCTTCCAATCTGTCGTATCTGTGCCAACATTGTCACAACAATGACAAAAATGACATGTTTCATAAGTCACACTATTTCAAGGATGTTGCTATCATTTCGACTGGACAATCGCATGCGTATAGAGAACTGTCAGTCCTTGGTTGGTTTGGTATAGCTCTTGAAAGAAAAATGATTCAAGTCAATCCGCTTCTACGAAATGGGATCGAGACGGAGCGTCTTTGTCAATCCCCAAACACGCACCTGATACCCGGGGGAGAGAAGGTCCCGTACGTAGGCACGTGCCTGTCATGCGAACAGAGTGTGAATAAGTTTTGAATTATTAATGATTCGCGGTTTGAATACGTTCCACGGAATGCTTTGAGGATTGGCAGCAGCCTATTTGGTCGGGTCAAAAGTGACGTGAGAAGTGTGGATGAAAATGGGATAGTCGATTGAGCCTAGTAGTATATGTTCAACATTTATTTCAATGTGCATTCCTCTCTGACAGGCATGACAACACCGTGTTATCAATGCGAGGATCGTTCCAATCCTCGTAACGAAACTATAACCTCCCATGAATAATAGGAAGGAACAGAGATCCTTCTTTTTCGCTTGCATTGTGCTCCGTCGGTAAGGCAGATTGCGGGTACAGTCGTTAAGGAGTATCGGGACGATTTGTCAAGTCGTCATTCCGGGCTCCCATATATTTCGCGAGAAATATCAAGCCGTGCGACTTTCTTTAAGCTCACTGCGGAAACTCCAATATCTTATCCTGTCATCGCGAGTTCGGGAAACACAAGTTTTAAAAAAATCGCCCGAAAAAACGATTAGTTACTGCGCCGTGACACGAAAGGGCGGGAGGGCTCACCCATTGGACAAAGTTGAAATCTTTGGAAATCCCCGAGACGTAGTTTGGGGGATGCTTTTGAAAGGGGGGTTACAGAGGCTAAGGGCTGCCGTAGGCTGCAGGGATACGAAAGTGTACCGGGCCAACTTCTAATCTTGTGTTATCAGTAGCTTGCAGGGCGGCAGCCCACAGTTTTATACGTGGTAGTACTGTATAGCTCGCTTTGAAAGTTCCGACTCGGTCCGAACACAGCATCATTGCTATTCACTGATACAATCGAGATTCGCAGTGCGGATGTAGTAATGCAACTGGTTCAATTATCATCCCACAAAGTCACTTCAGTTGCGGTAAATTATCTCTGATCTCGTGAAGGCAGTTACTTAGGTCGTGGTGATAACACTTAATTAAGACTTCACAGGCTACTGTGAAAGTGACTAATACGTAGAGCGTAGTTGTCGTTACGTTGTTAAATGGTCACTCGATTGCTGTATAAATAAAAACATTAATAATAAGTGTACTATTTTGGATAACTCAAAAAAGTCTAATATTCTTTTCAATTTTTTCATCCACTTTTTTTTTATAGC